GTATCCCTTCACTTCCCGTTTGGAGGGATTTCCTCTCAGTTCCTATTGTGGCTCTTAGAGAGGGAAATCCTTGGTGGTCAGCAGGATCTAGTGTCCCATTGGAAGATTTCCCATCTATTCCCATTCTGATGACACCAGAAAATTTGGGGTTTTTTCACTTTCACGCGACACCAGGACAAATAAAGAGATTGAATCTCCCAAAATGGTGACAGACAGCAATAGGTCTTCTAATCCCGCCCCACCCCAAGGGCTTTCTCATCAGGTCTGCCAGTCAGTTTTTTCCAGATGGACTTGTTTAGAAGCCCAATGCTCATCTATGGCCAGGCAAATCTAAATGGACGGGCGTCTGCTCACATCCAGTTACCCTCACCTCTGGTCAGGTCCTGAAAAACGATTGGATCAGAGGTCTATTTGGCCGGACCTGAGTGTGCCGGATCGGGGATAACCGGATGTCTGTACAATTTGATCCGGCTGCCCGAACACTAACAAGGGTCTTGTAATGGCAGCTTTTTCCTCCACCGCAAGATAAAGAAAAAAAAAACTGCATGGACACAAATGTCTCAACAGTCTCATCCGTGCACGGATCATCTCCTCCTCAGAGGGTGTCAAAGGGGCCTGAAACTAAACTTGCACTGTAAGGCTGGGCTTCCCTTTCGTCTTTATCGTAATTGGTCAAATCTTTGCTCTATTTTTCTGTATTAATAAATGTGAATTATTTGTACATTATTATGGCCCCGTTCACACCTGCAACTGAGGGCTAGTTCACACCAGAACTGCATCAAAAACGCATGGTTGCTTATAATGGGATTTCAGGTGCATTCCGATGCGTTTTAATCTGTTCTGTCTGCAGCTAAAATAGGGCAAGCAGATATTTTTTCTGGCTGCATCGGAACGGACTGCACTGGTGTGAACAGAGCACAAGAAATAATATAGGAAAGCATTGTGATGAGTTTTTGATGCAGCTGCAAAACGGAACAGACTGTATCACAACTGCATCTGGTGTGAACTAGCCCTGAGGCCTATCATGAGTCTCAAGAATTCCTCTGTGAGGATAGGGGCATGTTCACACCATTTTCCAGACCAGATATGGAACGCAGTGCATTGCGTTTTTGCCGTGTTTTTAACGCGAGGAGAACTATGAGGCGAGTGCTTTTCACTCACCTCATAGTTCTAGCCGACCTGTGACAATGAGACTGTCACAGGTCGGCTCAGTAGATCGGGAGGTGAGCGAACACATACCGGCCTTCGCAGAGAGCCGTGACAGGGCAGGGGCTGGATTCCCCCCTCCGATCCACCAGCGCTGACTGGCGGAACGGACGAGGAGGGGGGCGGGTACAGCTGGCTCTGCCTCTAGATAGGCAGAGCCAGCTGTCAGTCACGGAGCTGGGCGGATCCAGACATAATTGTCAGGATCCGCTTCAGCATCTCAGTATACCGCGAGCTATAGCTCGCAGTATACTGAGCCTAGGGTGACGGGAGGACGCTAGTTTGTGTCCTCCCGTTACCCTAAGGAGAACTATGGGGAAAAGCCTTAAAATGGTCTTACAGGTTTGTATGCATTTTTTATGTGTTTTTATGTGTTCCAGTGCATTCCAGAAAAGACAAAATAGGACAAGCAGTATTTTTCTGGTCTGGTCTGGAACGTAGTGCGCTGGTGTGAACAGAGGCCAAAAATAGCATACATTTGGTGTCTGGAAACAATCTGGTCTGGATGTGGTGCGAATGGGCACTTAAGGGTGCTATTGGCTAATGCAATTTAAAATGGTCCATAGCAGGCTGGCTAAAGAATTATTAAAAAAATATTAGATAGAAAAAAAGTCATTTTTGGTTTCAGCCTGACAAATTCTGTTGTGGTGCCATTCATTGCAATGGCACCCCAAACGCACCTTCCACCCACAGTGTGATCGGTTGCACTGGAACGCACGGTACGGCAATGCCGTACTTTCCAGCGCAGTGCGATTGACAAAAATCGTGCATGCAGTTTTATTCTGTAGTAAACTTTGTAACACTGCATTTGTGTATTTTATTTTGAATTACGGATGGTATTTAATTTTTTTTAATCCGATTTTTAAAAAAGAAATACTTGACCAACTAAAGGATTATGGAAATAATCATTAGTTGCACCCTAGAGCATTCATATGAAAAATATGGTCAAAACATTTCTACATTCCATAAGTGACTTGACAAAAAAAAAAATGAAGTTTCGTTAAATTTTAACATGTGATTTTGGAAATAAATGGCGTTCCCCAGAACAAAAAAAAAGAGAAAACCAACACATTCACTTTGAGAAAACTATTCCATCCTACTACTTGGATTTTTTTCATCACTATAGTCAAAAATGATTGTCAATTTGACCACATCAACTATTAGAAAAGCAAAACGTTCCAAAAATTAATGTTTTGAACATGGTCAGCTTGAGCTGAGATGCAGCATCCGAACTGCAGCCCATTCTGGTCTATGCTGCTGTTCACACAGACTACAGACACAACATCCAATGGCTGACTGACAAGCTGCATTGCCCCAGTATGTCATCATGTGACAAGGAAGTCTTTCATGCTGAGACAATGCAATGGAAAAACCACAGACCACCTATGACCCACAATTTCTATGCACACAAGTTTGGAAAACAAAAACAAAAAAAACAGTGCTTCTACTAACAAAATAAAGAGGACATCGGAGTGACGGCTGCATTATGTGACCTACTGAGATAGGAAAACAACAACAAAAGTAAAGACAAAACACATGGAAGGCAGAGAATAGGATTTCCTAATTAAAGGCTGACAGACAAGTAGAAGGAGAGAGTGGGAGGCCAGGTGCACTGCGCCATATGCAACAGGCATTATAAAGATGCTTTATGGAAGATCAGGAGAAGAAGTTGGAGGGGTCCAATAGGGTACTGGGACAATGCACACATCCGGCCTGAGGACACAATGCACACATCCGGCCTGAGGACACAATGCACACATCCGGCCTGAGGACACAATGCACACATCCGGCCTGAGGACACAATGCACACATCCGGCCTGAGGACCTGTCTGGGGACACAATGCACACATCCGGGCTGAGGACACAATGCACACATCAGGGCTGAGGACCTGTCTGGGGACACAATGCACACATCCGGGCTGAGGACACAATGCACACATACGGGCTGAGGACCTGTCTGGGGACACAATGCACACATCCGGGCTAAGGACACAATGCACACAACAGGGCTGAGGACACCATGCACACATCAGGGCTAAGGACTTGTCTGGGGACAAAAGAGCTATTGGGACAATGTACACATCAGGGCTGGGGACACAATGCACCATCAGGGCTGAGGACCTGGCTGGGGACACAATGCACCATCAGGGCTGAGGACCTGGCTGGGGACACAATGCACCATCAGGGCTGAGGACCTGGCTGGGGACACAATGCACCATCAGGGCTGAGGACCTGGCTGGGGACACAATGCACCATCAGGGCTGAGGACCTGGCTGGGGACACAATGCACCATCAGGGCTGAGGACCTGGCTGGGGACACAATGCACCATCAGGGCTGAGGACCTGGCTGGGGACACAATGCACCATCAGGGCTGAGGACCTGGCTGGGGACACAATGCACCATCAGGGCTGAGGACCTGGCTGGGGACACAATGCACCATCAGGGCTGAGGACCTGGCTGGGGACACAATGCACCATCAGGGCTGAGGACCTGGCTGGGGACACAATGCACCATCAGGGCTGAGGACCTGGCTGGGGACACAATGCACCATCAGGGCTGAGGACCTGGCTGGGGACACAATGCACCATCAGGGCTGAGGACCTGGCTGGGGACACAATGCACCATCAGGGCTGAGGACCTGGCTGGGGACACAATGCACCATCAGGGCTGAGGACCTGGCTGGGGACACAATGCACCATCAGGGCTGAGGACCTGGCTGGGGACACAATGCACCATCAGGGCTGAGGACCTGGCTGGGGACACAATGCACCATCAGGGCTGAGGACCTGGCTGGGGACACAATGCACCATCAGGGCTGAGGACCTGGCTGGGGACACAATGCACCATCAGGGCTGAGGACCTGGCTGGGGACACAATGCACCATCAGGGCTGAGGACCTGGCTGGGGACACAATGCACCATCAGGGCTGAGGACCTGGCTGGGGACACAATGCACCATCAGGGCTGAGGACCTGGCTGGGGACACAATGCACCATCAGGGCTGAGGACCTGGCTGGGGACACAATGCACCATCAGGGCTGAGGACCTGGCTGGGGACACAATGCACCATCAGGGCTGAGGACCTGGCTGGGGACACAATGCACCATCAGGGCTGAGGACCTGGCTGGGGACACAATGCACCATCAGGGCTGAGGACCTGGCTGGGGACACAATGCACCATCAGGGCTGAGGACCTGGCTGGGGACACAATGCACCATCAGGGCTGAGGACCTGGCTGGGGACACAATGCACCATCAGGGCTGAGGACCTGGCTGGGGACACAATGCACCATCAGGGCTGAGGACCTGGCTGGGGACACAATGCACCATCAGGGCTGAGGACCTGGCTGGGGACACAATGCACCATCAGGGCTGAGGACCTGTCTGGGGGACACAATGCACACATCAGGGCTAAGGACTTGTCTGGGGACAAAAGAGCTATTGGGACAATGTACACATCAGGGCTGGGGACAATGTACACATCAGGGCTGGGGACAATGTACACATCAGGGCTGGGGACAATGTACACATCAGGGCTGGGGACAATGTACAACCCCCCTCATGTCTTTACACTGTGTCCCCCATTGAATGCTGATCAGCTGGGTCTCTCCATAGACTATAGAAGGGGATGACATGTCAGCACAGAGGCGGGTCGTGGAGGGTTGTGGAGTCCTGGAGATGAGGGACACTTCCAGGGACACACCCCCCACACCCAGCACTGTCCCCGGACACAGCCCCGGCACTATGCGGGTATAACACATCCACATGGAACATACGGCACCCAGTGACACTCACACTACAGGAGAGCAGGACAGAGTCACATCCTCTGTGGCATCGAAGAACTCCTCCGTGTCGCTGTCGGACGCCATGGCTGAGTTGCGGGCCGGAGAGGCGTCAGTGAGCGCCGCTCCCCGGAGGCGCAGGCCCGGCCAGCATGTATGCTACAAGCTCCCGCTGACAGGCCGAGTCAGCTACAGAGCGGAGGCACACTCACATAAACACGGCCCGAGTATCGCGAGATCACCGCGGAGACCGACAGGAAGACAGGCAGTGCTGACATACACAAGGGGCGGGGGCAGGGGAGGAGTAGCATGTTGCTGACAGCAGGGCGAGGGGCGTAGCTGGCTCAGGGGGCGGTACAGGGTGTGGGCAGAAGCACGTGTACGACACCTCCAAGAGGGGCACAGCGGACACGCCCAGGGGCGGAGAAGGAGGAGGAGCATGTGTTAGCAATAGAAGAGGCATTGACACACTTGTGCGAGAGGGGGCGTGTCGTACACAACAGTCAGCGGAGCTGTCACTCTGATTTCGTAGTTTACCTTCCTGATCTCTCGCCTGGGAATACAGGAATACTGGCGCTAAATAATAACAGGAAGTGTTTCTTATTTTCATGGAGGGGATTTTATCAAAACTGGAGCAGACTAAATCTGGAGCAGCTGTGCATGGCAACCAATCAGCTTCTCTTCAGTCTGTTCAGGTAAATGAGAACTATGGGGTTAAATCTTTTCCCCATAGTTCTTTCTCGTCAGTATCTAAAGGCAGAGCCAGCTGTACCCTCCCCCGTCCGTTCCGCCAGTCAGCGCTGGCGGATCGGAGCAGGGAATCCAGCCCCTCCCTTGTCACGGCAGAGAGCCATGACAGGATCGAGAGGTGAGCGAACGCCGCTATGTGTTCGGTCAGCTCCCGATCTACTGAGCCGACCTGTGACAGTCTCATTGTCCCAGGTCGGCTAGAACTATGAGGTGAGTGAAAATCACTCACCTCATAGTTCTCCTTTAAGATTTGAAAATGAAAGAGAGAAGCTGATTGGTCGCCGTGATCAGCTGCTGATCGTAGCCTGGAAATTGAAAACAAATGCAGCTAACGCATGTAAGGACTGGGAAGCTGCAATATATTACTTTTGAGTTCTTGGGTTTATAGATCCTTTAATTACATTGTTCTCATTTGCCTGCAGTGACTAAAATGTGATTGTTTATGGCAAGGGTAGGCAAACTTGCCATGTCAGCTGTGGTGGAACTACAAATCCCAAGAGGCATGCAAGACTCTGACAGCTACAGACATGACTCCCAGAGGCAGGAGCTTAATGGGATTTGTAGTATCACCACAGTTGGAGTGCCAAGGTTGCCTACCTCGGATTTATGGGTTACTGATCTGCTCAGTTATTACATTTTTGTTATGTACCGGTAGATGCTTTAATTACATTTGCCTCATTTGACAGCAGGAACTTTCTGCCTTTGCGCTCAATCATTACATTTTGCACGACCTAATTCAATAAAAAGGTAAAAAACAAACGAATCAAACTAAAGGGGAATGCGATTTTTAAAAAGAAGAGAAACCAAATTGCTGTTGGTTGAAAATGATGTGTTCAGCAGATTCATCAAACATATCAGCGTTGCTGGTTTTATCTGTTTTCTTGCTGAAATAATTATACAATACGATTTGCTGAAAGGTGAGCTTTTTCCTCCAAAGCTCAGCACTAGCTAACAGCAGAGATTTCATCTTTCAAATGCATTCATTTTATTTTTCTGGTCTTTTGTGAGAAGAATGTTTTGCCTTTATGATGCAGCTGACAAAGTTTTCCATTATATCTGAAAGCCCCGATAAAGGTGACCACACACCTTGCGATAATCGTACGATAATCACGGGAAATCCTGCGATCGTACGATTATTGCAAGGTGTGTGGCAGGCCTTTTATCTTAAAGGAGAACTATGGGGTTAGGGCTTTTCCCCATAGTTCTCCTTAGGGTAACGGGAGGACACAAACTAGCATCCTTCCGTCACCCTAGGCTCAGTATACCGCGAGCCGTAGCTCGCGGAATACTGAGACGCCGCAGCTGAAGCGGATCTCGACAATTATGCCGGGACCTGCCCAGCTGCGTGAGTGACAGCTGGCTCTGCCTATCTAGAG